TTTTGGGCATCTTAAAGTAAAAGGATTAGGTTTAGGAGTAGTAAATATATTTTGTACCACTTCGTTGTGAATTAAAATATCTAAGTTCCTTTTTCAGTCAATATTAATAAGGTCCAGTAACATTGAATATGTAAGCAAGCAAATAAAATGGATTAGACATAATTAATATGAATATAAATGCATACATACAATATGGAAGGTGAATTATTAATACTATCATGCATATTTAAAATTATAATGAGTTTGTTAACCACATAATATAATAAATTTCAAATAGAATAAGAGATCATTATCATTATTGGTAAACAATCCCTTTTAATTAATGTGGGTCCCTCAACTTCGTAGCATAATAAATCACACAATCAATAAGTCAATAACTTATCCTGATGGAGGAGTTCATTATTATTATTGTTGGAATTCATTTGCAATTAGATGAGCACTTCTATTAAAATAATAATATGTGGGTCCCTTAACCACTGCAAGAAAAATCGGATAACCAATACGCCAATAACTTATTTGGTTGGCGAAATTCATTATTGTTATTGGCGGGCAAATCCTATCATTTTCATATCTCTTAGGACAATGCTTTGTCTATCAAATGAAATGATTCCCAATTTTGTTTAGGCTTTCTAAAATCACCTAATGTAGACCACTCCGTTTGGGAGTTAACACTATTGATTTTAGATTGAGTGTATAATGTTATTAACGCTCCAATGAAAAATAAAATATTAAATATCTTGTTATTATAATCTAGACTCTTTAAATCATGTGTAGGGCCTTATTTTTAAAGATCTAATTACAATGAATATTTAATATTTTTATTTTCATGAGACAACCATTCTTGTAATATTAAGACTCTTCAAATCATACATGGAGCCTTATTTTTGAAGATCTAATTACAATGATTTTAATAACGAAGGCTATAGGGTAATGTATAAAAATACCCGCTTCCACTCAATTTTTAATTATTCATAACTAGGATTTTTCATTTATTCATATCTATGATATAATGCATGCAAAACGTCTTGATTTTAATCCAATTAAATTTAGAAAATAACTGGACTTTTAAATGATTCACTAATATTTAATTTGAGGTACACTCTAAAAATAATTTACAAATTTTTTTTTTTGTTTCCCATTAAGTGCCCTCTAATTAATTAGTAATCAAATTCAATTTATTTTCATAATTTAATTAGTATAAATCAAGTCATTTAGATAAAAATCATGGATCCAATGCATGAATAAAATTAATTAACAATTATCCATTCTATGCATCACATAAATAAATAAACAACAGATAAAGCAAATTAAAAGGCCAATGGATTTAGCTTTTAACATTTAATTGCTCTAAATATTGTGCGAGGGTCTTCTATCGGCTTGCAAACACCCGCAGGAGGTTGATACGCTCCTGAAGAGGTAAAACAGTGCATGAAAATCACCTAGAGAGTAAGCAATAATCCCCCACGCACTGGCACGCGTTAGAGGAGTGTGTATTGAGCCCATATGCGCTGGCACGCACCTTGAGCGTGTCCAGCGCGTCCCCATGTGCTGAGAAATCCTGCAGGCGCGTGACACGCGCCTGTACATGCTTACACGCGCGTCAGCAAGTGGCCAGCGTGGCACGCGCGTGAAGGCACGTCAGTTGAGTTCAGCGCGTGTTCTGCACGCGCCTGAGGGCTGCTGACAGGGTCAGCGCGTGTAATCCACATGCCTGAGGTGTTGACTTGGTCAGCACGTGACCTTTACGCACGTTTCCAATGGGGATGCATGGTGCACACCGTAGCCGCATCTCACAGTATCTTCTCCAGCCGCCATCATGTGATCCAACGGTCAAGAATCTGGTTGTAATGAAAGCTGGTGTACCGTGCTATGCCGGATCAGCAGACTTAATTCTGGCGCCGTTCTCGCCGCCGGAGAAACTCCGATCGCTGGAAAATCGCCGAAATATTCCAGAAAATTAATTAAAAAAAACCCAAAAAATTAAATTAAGCCCAAAAAATTCCGAAAAATTCCGAAAAAATTTCAGAAAATTCCTGAACCCTAATTTAACCCTTTTGGACCTTGTTGAAGTTTCATAGCATCCTTTGATGAATATTACGTGGCTTTATGAATATTTACTATTTGAAATACAATGGAAAAAAATTAAATTACATCATTGAACTTGCAAATGGCTAAATCAAAGCCTTAATTACATTCATCCAAAAATAAAATTACATTCAATTAACTTATAAGCTTCATTCATGGCCAAAACTTATATCATCATTCATTCACAAATATACATACATCATCATGTATCAATAAATATCAATATATTAATTTATACATCAACATACATCAATAAATAAATATATGCATATTAAAATTGGATCCATGAATGATGAATTTTGATAAAAACATGATCTCTAGTAATGAATCAAACCATGCTCTGATACCACTGTTGGGAAACATGCTAGTTTTAAAAACTTTTCGAGGGATTTTGATTCATAGATCTTGATTCATCACATAGAGACAAGTTTTATGTAAAAATAAAATATGATATATTATTCAATTAATAGATTGAATACTTACATCAAAGGTTTGAGTAAATATTAGATCTCTCATCTAAAGTGAATGTTCTCACTTATTGTAAATTCCTTTGTTAGATGCCATCTCCATGAATCTCCATTTTCTTGGTAATACTTTTGCCTTTAGGAATCACCCATAAGTCTCCATGAATAACTTTGGAAAACTAGGCTTGTGGGAGGCTGCATTAGATGAGAACACTAACTCTAATTTTCTAGAGAGAGAAAATATATTCCTTTTTTCTTTCTTCAAAAATCACACCTAAAATATACATAGGCCATGTATATATGTAGGCAACATAAAGATAAAGAAAAGGAAATAATAAATCATTCTCAATCTCTAATTCACATGTCTCAAATCTAACAGGATTCCAATATCAAGTTGGGCTATGAGTGAGAATCCTTTGGGCTTATTATTTATTGGCTACAATGAATTAATAATTGGCCCGGTCCATGGACCCAATTCAATTAATTCATAAATTAATTTCTACTCCACTAAAAGAAATTAATTGAACTCCAATTAAATAATAAATAACCTCTAAGTCAATGTTGCACTTTGACTCCTCTATGCACAATTAGTTATCGGATAAATAAAGCCATCAATCCGACTTCTTAATTAATATATTTCTTTTGGTACCTTTAATTATTTCTGGCTCGATCACAATAAAACATTTGTTTGACAAAAATAATAATTTAAATAAATAAATATATAATAAATCATTTTGTCTAAAAACACACGAAGGCCCTCGAATTTACTTTTTGATCAACCATAATCAATACAAAATAAATACAAGTAACAATGATGCAACTATTGAAAATATAACCCTCTAACTATTAATTACATAATTACCCAAAGTGTCAGTCTAAGGATTCCGAAGATTCCGCCGAACAAATCAAAGTAATTACTAATTAATAAAAGAGTCTATACTTCTCTCATGCTGAAGAGTCAAATGCCATGACAGTGATAGGGAACAATTACTTACGACGGCTCTCGCAATATATCTCAACCTAGCGGATCCAGTTCAAGTCTTAGTTAATAATGAGTTCATCCATAATTACCGACTATGAACAATTTATGATTACTATTTATATTAATGCATTGATCGCCATTACATACATATATAAATATCTCTTGTAATCAAGTGGACACTATCAATTCCATAATGAATCGAAATATAATATATTGAATTCACCAATTGTATAAAGCATAAATATTTCAAATATGTTAGGAACATATGTCAGTATAATCCAAATAGGAATTTGTAATGCCAGGGCATATAAATCCCAACACACCTATCATAGAAAATTATTATAAACCAACGAGATTAAATGGCACCACAGGAAGTTATGATCCCTGGCACATGGTCACTTTGGTGAGAGGCCGCGATGTATGTGCTAAACAATGTGATGGAGCTTGATAAAATAATAACTGGCTCATGTCCAAGAATTGGTGATGGCAAATGGGATGTTCTGAAAGCTTGGGATGCATAAGCCACGGTTACAAGGAAGAGGTTCTTCGAGTATATAATACATAGAGCTTGTCATCTGGTGGAATTTTAGTGTCTCTGTAATCACTGATAATGTAGATCATGGGAAATGCAGAAACTGAATTAATAAATAAATCTATATCAAATACAACATTAGATATTTTTGGATGAAATAGGAATGGAGTCGGAAATTAGAATTTCTTTTGTGCTGAATCAAAGAGATTTCAGGAACCATCAACTACCATTGTTATGGTATAGGAATTGTAAATCACCTTTTTTTTAATTTTTTTTTATGTTAATTTCATAGAAGAGCTACAATTGGCCTACTGGTTGATTTTGACTGAATTCTTGTCTAACATTACAGAACAGAAATTGGTTTCTCAAAACATTTATGTTGTGTTTGTGAGCATCACATAACATTTGGGATTCATAGTTTCCAAACATAACATTAGGTATTTTTGGATGGAAGAGCAACACAACTGTGTGTGGCTCCAACACTCTTGAGTTTGTTTACAATCCTGCTCTAAATCAGCCTAGAATATGCATTGGGACCTTATATTGTTTGATATCACTTGACACTTGGTGTATCAAGTGTTAGAAAATCAAGTTTGATTAGATGAGTTTTCTTTGTGCAGCTTGAACACTTGTGTATTTCGTTCTGCGGTGAAAATCATAACCAGAAATTTTCAATTGTCCAAAATGTATTATTGGAATCAAATTACTGAAATTATCTAACCTACCTAAACTAAATGTAAATTGTAAATTGTATTACTCAATGGAACATAAGGGCTGAAATTCAGAGAGCTACCGAACTCGCAAGGACAATTAATGACACAAAAGTAATTGGTTTTTCTGTTTGATTGCACTTAGTTTCAGTTTTATGTTCTAACTATCTTCTTTTTCCCTATTTGATTGTTTTTGACATTCAGTTACAAATTTTCTTCTACTGCAGCATGCTCTGTACTTGGTTTATCTTGGACTTACAGTTTTAGTATCAGCATGGATGGGTACGTTGTATGCTTTGAACACAATTCTAAATTTTCTTCTATTGCCTTCCGTTCTTGTTGATATTGTGGTTTTCAGGTGTTGCATTTTGGATGCAAACTGGGGAAAGGCAGACAGCTCGTTTGCGATTGAAGTATCTCCAGTCAGTGTTAAAGAAGGATATTTATTTTTTCGACACGGAAGCCAGGGATAAGAATCTAGTTTTCCACATCTCAAGTGATGCAATACTTGTGCAGGATGCAATAGGTGACAAGGTAAATATGCAAACAAGGAGGCTAGGACCATGACTAATGAATGATATACTGAGTACTGCTATATTGACCAGTGTAATTACCTCTTATTCTCTTATTTTCTTCGTGCAGATAGGCCATGGTTTGCGTTATCTTTCCCAATTCCTTGTCGGGTTTGCTATAGGATTCACTTCAGTATGGCAGCTTACACTTGTGACCTTGGCGGTTGTTCCATTGATAGCCATTGCTGGAGGAGCATATACAGTTACCATGTCTACCTTATCAGAAAAAGGTGAGGCTGCTTATGCTGAAGCTGGGAAGGTTGCGGAAGAGGTAAACCACATGCCTCTATCCTCAGCTCATTGTTTTTCCCCACTAAAGAATAAATGTCCGTGTGATCAATCAATTAGTCTATTCTAACCTGTGTGCTTCCCATGTTGATGCCTGCAAATTTAGAAACAAAGAAAGCTTATTTTAATCCATTTTTTCACTAGACTGATATATTAATCCACTTTTTTGCGAATTTAGAAACAGTGATTAATTTGACTATTTTTTTTTCCCTCTCCTTTTGCTTCAATCAGGTTATTTCACAGGTTCGTACTGTATACTCTTTTGTGGGAGAGGAGAAAGCGGTTGAAGAATACTCAAAGTCACTTAAAAAGGCCCTCAAACTGGGGAAGAAGAGTGGTTTTGCAAAAGGAGTTGGTGTTGGCTTTACATATGGGCTCCTGTTTTGTGCTTGGGCATTACTTCTCTGGTATGCCAGCATACTTGTCAGACATGGAGCCACAAATGGTGGAAAAGCATTCACAACAATTATCAATGTCATTTTCAGCGGATTGTAAGTTGGACTAGGATTAGTTTATCTTTTTTTATTCATCACTCATTGTTAATCATCTTATGGAAAACAAAAAATTTTTCTTCTTTCTTTCTCTATAGTGCTCTTGGTCAAGCTGCTCCAAACCTTGCAGCCATTGCTAAAGGTCGTGCCGCTGCTACAAATATCATGAGCATGATTAAAGACGAACTGAACTCTTCTAAAAATTCTGATAAGGGGATGGTGTTGCCAAAAGTGGCTGGGCAAATTGAATTCTGGCATGTTTCTTTTGCTTACCCTTCTCGGCCTAATATGATCTTCGAAGATCTTAACTTTTCAGTTTGTGCTGGAAAATCATTTGCAGTTGTTGGTCCAAGTGGTTCTGGAAAGAGCACAATTATTTCCATGATTCAAAGGTTCTATGACCCCACTTCAGGTATTAAGAATTTTGTTCAGCTAGAGTTGATTGACTTTAATTTGTTTCGAATTAGCAAAGTCTTAGTTACCTAAGTTCTAAGGACATGTTTGGGGTTTATGAACTGGAATTTATTAGGTAAAATAATGCTGGATGGACATGATATGAAGATTATTAAGTTGAAATGGTTGAGAGAACAAATGGGGTTGGTTAGTCAAGAACCAGCACTGTTTGCCACAACTATAGCTGGGAACATTTTGTTTGGCAAAGAAGATGCAGATATGCATCAAATAGTTGAAGCTGCCAAAGCTGCAAATGCTCATTCTTTTATTCAAGGCTTACCTGATGGTTATCACACTCAGGTAGGTATTAATATTTTTGTATAATCCGGAACTTTACAGTTCTGAGTATGCATAAATTCATTAATTCTTAGCATCATCCTGAAGCAGTATGTATGACAGTTTGTTGATTTTAGGTGGGTGAAGGGGGGACTCAGCTCTCTGGAGGGCAAAAACAGAGAATTGCTATTGCAAGAGCAGTGTTGAGAAACCCAAAGATATTACTTCTAGATGAGGCAACAAGTGCTCTTGATGCAGATTCAGAACTCATTGTTCAGCAAGCATTGGATGTAGTCTTGTCTGGTCGGACAACGCTTGTGGTAGCACACAGATTATCTACTATTCGAAATGTTGACACAATCATCGTCCTCAAGAATGGACAAGTTGTTGAAACTGGAACTCACTCGGAACTGATATCCAAAGGTGGAGAATATGCTACTCTGGTGAGTTTGCAAGTATCAGAACATATGGAAAACCCAAGTTCAGGGAATTCCACTGAACCTTCTGGCAATCCTAGCTCTCAAAAATTTTCTGACAGTCAAAACTGTGAGCACGATTTTGAATCAATTGCCAAAACTGAGCTGCACCCAAAAGATGAAATATTGTCCTCATCATGCGTCGTCCCAACTCCATCAGTTTGGGATTTAGTTAAACTAAATTCACCAGAGTGGCCCTATGCAGTACTTGGGTCAATTGGTGCGATTCTAGCTGGCACAGAAGCTCCTTTGTTTGCACTAGGAATTACGTATGTGTTGAATGCATTCTATTCTAATGATGATTTCCAAATCAAAGAAGAAGTTCGACGTGTTTCTCTAATTTTTGTTGGAGTAGCTCTTGTTACCATTCCTATATACCTGTTGCAACACTATTACTATGCCTTAATGGGAGAGCGTCTCACAACTCGTGTTCGGTTACTAATGTTCTCAGGTTCTTTTCATATTTCTTTTACAGTCTATCTGCTCCCTTATTAACACTAGATTTTTTTTTTTATGTATTGTATGTCGTTCTCAGAACTTTACTCTTGGTTTGAACTGCAGCTATGCTTTCCAACGAGGTTGGCTGGTTTGATTTGGATGAGAATAGTACCGGCTCACTGACTTCAAAGTTAGCAGCCAATGCAACATTAGTACGAAGTGCACTTGCCGACCGCCTATCAACAATTGTGCAGAATGTAGCACTCACTGTGACAGCATTTGTTATAGCCTTTACATTAAGTTGGCGCATAGCATCTGTTATCATCGCTACCTTTCCCCTACTCATTGGAGCTTCAATAGCTGAGGCAAGTCTTAAAAATTCAAATGGCCCATTATCTACAATTACAATATATATATGTCCCCTATCTGGATTTGTTCCGGTTGAAACCTAACAAACTGATGATTCTTTTCCATCTCTAAAACCTGCAATGGCTTTGTTCTATGAAAGTGGTATACATTTATTGACATTTCTCCAATTGCTTTCTTAAAATTTTTGCAGCAACTATTTCTTAAAGGATTTGGAGGAGACTACTCTCGTTCTTATTCTCGGGCTACTGCTGTTGCACGTGAATCAATTGTCAATATCCGTACAGTTGCTGCATTTGGTGCTGAAGAGCGGATGTCAATCCAGTTTTCCACCGAGCTAAACCAGCCAAACAAGCAAGCACTTCTGCGAGGCCATATATCAGGTTTTGGTTATGGTGTGTCTCAGCTCTTTGCATTCTGCTCCTATGCACTTGGCCTTTGGTACGCCTCAATTCTGATCAAGCATAACGACTCAAATTTTGGAGATATTATCAAGTCCTTCATGGTTCTGATAATCACTGCATTGTCAGTAGCAGAAACACTTGCTCTTGCACCCGACATTGTAAAAGGTTCACAAGCACTTGGATCTGTTTTTGAAATTCTCCACAGGAAAACTGCCATAAACCCCAACAATGCCACATCAATGGTGGTTACTGACATCAAGGGAGATATAGAATTCAGGAATGTGACTTTCAAGTACCCCATGAGGCCTGACGTCACTGTTCTCGACGACTTAAATTTAAAAGTTTCAATAGGAAAGAGTCTGGCAATAGTGGGGCAAAGCGGTTCAGGGAAGAGTAGTGTGATAGCACTGATAATGAGATTCTATGACCCTACTTCAGGCATAGTTCTGATTGATGGATTTGATATTAAGAACCTAAACTTGAGATCATTGAGGTTGAAAATAGGTCTAGTGCAGCAAGAGCCAGCACTGTTCTCTACCACAATTTATGATAATATCAAGTATGGGAATGCAGGAGCAACAGAGATTGAGATAATGAAGGCAGCCAAGGCTGCAAATGCTCACGGGTTTATTAGTAGAATGCCTGAAGGGTACCAAACTCAAGTTGGGGACAGAGGAGTGCAGTTGTCAGGGGGACAGAAACAGAGGGTGGCTATTGCTAGAGCAATACTGAAAGATCCATCAATTCTTCTTTTGGACGAGGCAACGAGTGCATTGGACACTGCCTCCGAGAAGCAAGTCCAAGAAGCCCTTGATAAGCTGATGGAAGGCCGAACAACTATTCTGGTAGCGCACAGGTTGTCAACTATACGTGATGCAGACAGCATCGCCGTGTTGCAACATGGAAAGGTGGTTGAAAGTGGCAGCCATGAACAGCTCATCAGCAGATCAGAGAGTATTTATAAGCAGTTAGTTAGCCTACAACAGGACCAAAGCATACAAGTTCTCTAGCAATTGGCTGTCCAGGAGAAATTGGATAATACAAGCAAGGAAGATTTGAGGCCTAACAAGATACATTGATGCTTCTAAACATGAAGTTTATTTATCTGTTATCATATCTATACTAAATATAGAAGAAGATGTACAGCTAAATATGCTTATAAACACTCACTGTTGCAAAGGCCATATGAAAATTCAATGGCTTCCAACGAGCTTTGGTCATCTTCTCCATTCTACCTCACTCTTATACTACAACTTGACACTCAAACTCGATGTTTTAGCCCGATTTACCAATCACAATTCAAAATTTTCAGAATGAGTTGAGCTCAAATTAATTAGTTAGGATTGAATGTGGAGTTGAGTCAAATTATGGGAGTTACCCCAAGTTAAGCCTCTAAGTCACACCAGTATCCCACTTGTATTTTTAATTTTTAAATTTTTTATGGAAATTATTGGCCATATATTTTGGTTTTAAAATCGTATTTTCTAAATTGTGTTAAGACCCATTATATGACCAATAATTTCAGAGAATTATGAGAATCTTAATTTAGGGATTAATTAGGTATTTTAGTCTAATTAGGGTTTGTGGGGTCTCTAAATTTGTTGAATTTGCCAACTGGGGCATAAATGAATTAATTAGGGGTTTGAGTCCATTCTTTCAATTATGTGGTTGGATCATTCGAATTCTTGTTTATTTTGATTCTTAGGATTGTTTTTAACCTATCTTTGTTCTTTGCTTGGTTATGTTGTTTTCACGTCTTAATGATGCCATACGAGAAGGAAATTTGCATTCCACGACGGGAAAGTTTTTGTTGTTGTTGAACATTGTTTTGCAGGCGCTCTTAGTTGTATCAAAATAAATAAATCCATAACCATCCCTAATAATTATTGGGAATGTAATCTTAGTACCTTTATCATTGTAGAATTCATGACTGATAGAGCATTATCTGATTGTGGACTTGCATCATTTCTCTAGTTCTCCAGTAAAACGTTATATTTATACATATGATGAATTGTATTTGATATTTTATAAGGCTAGCATAGTCCAATAGTATATATATGTGTGTGTAAAAATAATAGCATATATATGTATACTAAAGAAATTGGGCATAATAGATACTCCAAAAAAAAAATCAAAGGCAAACATAATTGGATTTCTGAAGCTAGGGTTTTGTTTAGTACTATTAATGCCACAAATCTGGAGAAATGGAAAGTTGACATGTAGCGAAGTTTCAAGGGAACTTGCCACCCCAGTATACCTGATGTGTGTTTATTTTTACCACGTGCAATAATACGAATCATTTGCAGGATAGGGCTACTTAGTGGGTGTTGAACTTTAGGGACTATGGTGGTTTATCAAATTTTCAATTAATTACTATTTTAATTTAGAAGGAAAGTTTATTTGTTGTGTTATGTGATTCAGTAATATGAACAAATATTAAACTAAATAAAAGGATTGAGATTAAAGAGAGAAGATCTTAGGAATTGACTTCACCACGAACCTCATACTATTGTCAATTGTCCAACCTTGGGATTTCTATATCATGATTCATCTTTTTTTAAATTGATTTAAACGAATATTTGCCAATTGCTTAGAATATCTAAATCAATTGCTCAAAATCATGCAATCAATTATACATTAACAATTAAAATCCCAAAGTATAGAACAATCAAATCATATTAATCAGATTCAATGGTATATATAATAGAATTGTCCAATAGTCCAATAGCATAGTCCAAACAAACAATCATCATCCAATAGCATAGTCCAATAGCATATTTTCAAGATTCAAGAGTAGTCCAATAGTATAGAACTGTTACGACCCGAACCTGTGGGTCCAAACTGTTAATCGGGTCCTTACCCAAACCTGAGGTCACGTAAGTCAATCCTCATCATGTCTAGAGTCAACACATCATCATTGAGTCCTAATTATGCCATGTGGAGGCTTTAAACAACTATCCAATACTCGGGGTTAACTGTGCCAAAGAAAGAACAAAAGATCACAAGGTAGCTACAGTTCGGTCGACTGAAATAGAGATCCGGTCGGCCAAAATAGCCCCCTGAACCGGTCGACCGAAGTAGCCATTTCGGTCTGCCGGTTGTGACCCAAACAGTAGTTGAGGTTACTGGAATGATCGGTCGACTGAACTACCCATTTCGGTCAACTGAAAAGGCCCTACGAGCTGGGAATCTGCAATTGAACAGCTATAAGTGTGAAAATGAAGAAACTTGGTAGGGACTCTAAAAGAAATTGATCTAAAACCTGTCCCAATGCACTATAAAATGACTTTTTTCATTCCATGGTCATGAATATCAACAATATACTACAATGCCATTTCATTTCAAAATATACATCGTTTCCCTTTCATAGCAAGATTTCCATCATAGATTCAAGTTTACAACAAAAATAGAGTCAAGGATCCAAATTATGTTACATGGCCCAACTATACAACTTAATACATGTTCAAAATGACACTTTATAAAAGATTGTGGTCCAAATACAAAATGGTTACAAAACACCCTCCTAATCCCTTTATCCTTGTGGTGGATTATCATCCGCCACCTTCTTTCCGTGACCTGAAAAATGTTAATATAAAGGGGTGAGCATAAGCTTAGAAGGATGTGCCTAAGGCACACCTCTTGAGACCCCATGAATCCATACAATGAATAGATACTAAGATAGCAGGATCATGCTATGTCGGGAAAAAATATAACTACAATACCACATCATTAATCCAATACCTCAAATGAATATGCCGTGTAATGAGATGTTATGTCATGCAATGTTACTCCCCATTTTCCAAAACCATTTCCGTCGTTATTCCAAACCGTTAGTGCAACCAGTCCCATGGCAACTCAATAGCGATACGAGAGGAGAATTGACTAACTGTCCCTAACCCATGGCAACTCCATGGCGTCATTTGAGGCCCAGGTAACTTAGCCACTCTACGGTGATCTTCTTAGTCCTCTCTAGGCCACACTAACGCCACGGTCCCTGGGTAATTCCTAGGCGGCCGAGTTTTTCGTAAAACCCTTTCAAAACTTCTTTCCCAAAATCCCATTTTAATTTCATTCAAACCTTGTTCCCATTTCTTTCCCAATGGAATGCATGGATGCTTCATGCTTCACAATGTCATGCCAATTAAGAATTTGCATTCTTAGCAAGTCAATTATTCTCAATATACATGCCTTGTAGAAAATTATAGAAATACACTTCATGCTTTCCAAATCACAAAATTCAACACATAAAACACCATAGGCATGAAATATAATCATTTAAGCATGCTTTCCCATACAACATCAACTAATACACATAATCATATATAACATTTGATACATTTTAAAGGAATCAACACAAATATAGCATGCTAGATAACAAAACAAGGAAGATAATTCACAAAGGAGTAAGAAATTTGTGAATTAGGAATCCCTACCTCCAAAAATGCAAAAACCCCAATTCTACGCCTTAGATTTCGAAAATCCTATGGTTGGCCAAATGATGAATTGCTTATACTCACGTGTAGATCTCATCGGGCTCTCCGATTTGCCATAAACGGCACAACCAAACTCCTAATGGTTAAGAAGTAATCAAAGCTTGAAGCTTTGAAGGAAAAGAAAAAAGAAAAAGTAAAGAAAAGAGGGGGAGAGAGATATAGTCAGGGAGAGAGAAGAAGAATGAGGCCAATTGTGTCAGCAATAGTTTTTCAAGCCAGTGCATCCTGTGATGAACCGAAGATTTACCCAATAGCGGATCCAGATGCAGAAGTAAGAAACAAGACAACGGTCTCCCAAGGCACAACACACCTCTAAGATACTTTGATGACCTTCCATGAGGTTGTGGAATTCAATGAGAACTGACGTGGGAGCAAAAGATTGAAAAATAACAATTAAGCCCCCAAGGGCAAAATAGTCATTTTACATGAAAATGACGTCCCTGGAATGTATATCATTCTCGATACACATCTGTAACTTCCCATAAAGTCACGAAACTCAAAGGAAAGTAGCGGAAGCGGAAAGCAAGAAAAATAGGACAAAAATAGCCCTAAGGGCAAAATAGTTATTTATGAAAATATGGATTTGGGTGCCATCGAGCACACTGCTGGAAAGATAACAACAAACTAATCAAGATGGACTCAAGAATTGCATGATTTGGAGTCCGAACGAATGAGAAACGGCAAAATGAAGAAAAGCGAACACTTAAGGCTAAAAGGGTAAACTGGTAATTATCCAGGAAGATTCAGGTGCAACCGAGCACACTGTTTGAAAGACAGCGAAAAATTAGTCAAGTTCAAAAAAAGGTTCACTCAATTTGGAGTCCGGACGAAGGAGAACGAGCAAAAACAAAAATCGACGTCACAACGTCGGGACGAGGCACCACGAGCACCCCATGAGCAACCCACTAGCATCTTGACATGCACTATGACATGCTAGGGGAAGAAAAAGATTCAGTCAGAATTGAGAGCAGAAACGAGGTCCAAAACAAATTTTTTTGGAAAAACATGAAGAAGAAACCCCCCCTAAAATCGAGTTTTCTACCCAACTACACAAAAGGAAATGAAAAAAACTCACTACAAAATCCCTAAAATACCCCTAGATCAGAAGAGGCCAAGAGGGCCAAAAAGCTGCTACAGTAACTGTCCACATCTGAGAGTAAAAACTGGCTATCAAATGAATATTTCTTGGAACACAAAAAAACCCCTCCCGAAATCAAATTTACTACCCGGATACGGGAGAGAAAATGAAAAAAACACACTGTGAAAAGGCCAAAATGCCCCTAGATCAGAAAATGCTTAAAACTCAAAAAATGCAACTTTGCACCAAGTATGTATTTGACTCTAAATGCATTTCTAGGTTGAAACAATTGTACATGCAAGTGTAATAAATGATCCTAAGTGCGCGGGAATGGTCCGCGGCTCCCGAGAAGCCCGGACTCAAAATCTGACCCCCAGACGGCCAAAAATGAGAAAAATGGATTTGAAATGGAAAATTTGAAATCCAAAAATATGAAATGGAGTCAAATTATCGTTTGGCCCTTGGTCACACATCATACAAGATTAATGAGATCCTATGAAAGAATAAAAATGGAATTCTCACACCCGATGCAAAAGTAATGAAGCAATGACTAATGAATTTTTAAGGTTTTCATAACATTTCATGAAATCAAGAATTACATAAGATGTAATATAAATGTCATTGGCCTCCAGCCTCATCTTATACATGTCAAATACATTACAAAAGATGTACTTATGTACACATTACATATATGGAATTAAGGATACAAGTTTTGACATATAAGGCTACAAAATGACATTTTATGCTGACATTTGCATGAAATGGAAACTAAAAAGCTATAAGTCATCCAAGAAATGATGAGCATCACGAACTAAGTCTTCGTACCTGAAAAATGCCTTGATAACATAGGGGTGAGTAACATAAAGCTACTCGTAGGAGATGAGCATGCATAGACCTATCATTTTACAA